AATAAAGATTAGTATGCTTAAGAAGATATTAACTTTCAAACTCTTACAGACTCTTATAAGCATAGACAAAGATCAGACTTATGAAGACTTCTACACACAGCTTCAGACAATGAATGACTGTCTTATCAAGCTTAAGAATATACAGAACAGTGACAGAAGATATTATATCTCAGTGACTTATACACTTATGTCAAGAAATAACAATGATGCAGATACTATGAATTGAGTAGACTTGAATATTTACATATAAGTAAGAGTCTCTGTTATTCAGACAGACTTCTGAGTCTCTGAAATCACTTCTGAAGAAGTTACTGATTAATATTAATATAAAGTGTGTATTAACTGTAACTGATTAGAACACATTGCTTTTAACTGTCAATTAATCTATATATCTTCATACTTGAGAGAAAGATCAGTGCTTTCTTATTCAAAGAATGAATCAGTGTCTGTTCACATCAATCATGTTACATTAGAGAAAGATTTGAAAGATAACTATAAGAATGCTCTGATAAAACAGGAAAAAGATTAACTTCTATTCAAATTTACAAACAGAAGCTTGAAGAGATCAGATGATAATAATTTAAAGAGAAGATAATAATGAATATAATTCTTATATCTACTGTGATTGATAATATGTATAATATGAAAGTCATGATAGACAGCAGTCTATATTACTATATAATGATAAAATCTTCAGTTATAAGATATTATAATCTTCAGTGTATTTCTTTATCAAAATCTCAACTTCTTACAGAATTTGATGATTTAAAAGATATTTATACCTGTTATATGATGAAGCTGATCATAGATGTGAGAGAATATCAATGTGAAGATATCTATATATATAAAGTTAATAATCTTGATTATAATCTTATATTAAAACTTGTCTGACTATCTGAATAAGACATCTTATTAAATACTTGAAACAGAAGCTTGATATTCTCTAATAATAATAAAATTTATAAAGATAATATTCATAAGACTATTAATCTAACACAGATCTCTATCAATATCTATAAAATACTTAGAAAAAGAAGTCACTGAAAGAATCACTGATAGCAGAATTATATATCAATCTATTTCATCAGTCTGACTGATATTAAAAAGACTCTAGAAAAGTTATTCTATATTATAATAATAGATTCTTGTACAAAACTTTCTTAATAATATTATGAATATCTAGATATCTTCTGATAAGATAATATTATAAATATATCTCTCTTATGAGATTCTGAAGTGAATCATAGTATTAAGTTAGAGAAAAAGAATAGTAAGAACTCTGAACTATCATGAGACTCTCTTTATAACATATCTCAAGATAAACTTCTTCTTCTTTAAAAGACACTCAATGATCTGTTAAATAAAGAATTTATATATATTAGTAACTCTTTCATCACAGTCTCTATTCTCTTTGTAAAGAAATCAGATAAAGAACTCTGATTCTATGTGAACTACTGAGATCTGAACAGATTGATAAAGAAAGATTGATATCTCTTATCTCTTATTAATGAAACTCTAGCACAGATCAGATAAGCTTAATAATTTATAAAACTAGATATTATCACTGTATTTTATAAGATTTGTATTACTGAAGAAGATGAATAACTTACAGTATTCTGAACATATTATAATCTTTTTGAATGAATAGTTACACTCTTTAAACTGACTAATATTCTCAGTATATTTTAGAAGTATATTAACTGAGTACTCTGAGATTTTCTTGATAAGTTTGTATCTACTTATCTAGATAATATTCTCATCTTCACTGATAAATTCAGAAAAGAATATTCAGAGTATGTATGAAAGATATTATAATAGCTATAAGAAGTAGAACTACTGATAGATATTAATAAGTATGATTTTAAAGTCAAGAGTATTAAGTATCTGAGTTTTATTATAGAAGCTGATAAGAAGATTTGAATAAATTCTGAGAAAGTTTTCATCATTCTTAAATAAGAAGCTCTATATACTATAAAAGATGTATAAAGCTTCATTGAATTTACTAACTTCTATCAGTGATTTATATGAAACTTCTCAGATATTACAAGATCACTTACAGATCTTACTAAGAAAGACTCAGTATTTCAATAATCAGTAAATACTGAAGCTGTATTTATATAGATAAAGAAGATATTCATTAATATCTCTTTACTAATAATATTTAATTCTGATTATAAGACAGTTATTAAAGCTGATTTCTCTAACTATATAATAGAAGAAGTGATATTATAATATAATGATAAAGATATTCTATAATTATATATCTTTATATCTAAGAAACTGAGTTCTGCTAAATATAATTATAAGATCTATAATAAGAAACTTCTTATAATTATATACTGTTTAGAAGAATGAAACTCTGAACTTTAAAGTATCTCTGAATTTAAGATAGTTATAGATTATAAGAATCTTAAATACTTTATAACTATCTATAAACTTACTGAATGATAAATATAATAATCTGAGTTTCTAAACTACTTTCATTTTATAATACACTATCACTCTAACAGTCAGAACTTAATAATAGATACTCTTTTATAATAAGAGTAAGATATATTATCTGATATAACAGATACTCACTGAATAAACTGAGAGTATCAGCTTTTAAATCTGAAGATATTAATTAATCAAGATGAAACAGCTCACAGTACTATATATACTTCTTTAATTAGAACTGATATTAATATCTTCACTTTCTCTACACTGAATGAACTGTGATATACAGCAGCTCAGACTAATGAACTTCTTCAGATTCTTACTAAAGCAGTATATTAAGAAGCACTCTGATTTCTCTCAGAACTATATATAAGAACTAATATCTCAGAATACTTAATAATAATAATACTCTACAATTTTATAAATGATGCTGAGTCTCTCACTCTAAACTCTTATATACTCAGATAATGCAAGAGATGTATGATTTATATATAATCAGTTATCTGAACTATAAATAACTGTATAAAATAATCTTCTAAGAATTCTACTGATTTGAAATATTAAACAGTATTAGATACTTTGTCTGAAACTGTAATTACTGTTCTTCTATTATCTTATAAAAGAACTATAGAAAAGATCTACTGAAATCACTTAATATCTCTAATAGAATCTGATAAGATATAGTAATTAACTTCACTATTAATCTATCTAAGAGTAAGAGTTGTAGAAATATTCTAGTTATTATTAACTAACTAAATAAAAGTATAATATTGAAATCTTATAATAAGATAAATATCAGATAAGTCACTGAAGTCTTCTTACAGAGTTTATTCTATTAAATATATAAGTTATTAAAATTAATAATATTAAATCAGAGTTATTAATTTATAAGTACTCTCTGAATAAGAATTTATCAAGTTTTTAAAATTATATACTATCTATTAACTATCTATCACTCTGAGACTGATAATGTATCAGAATGAATAATTCAGATTATAAAGAATTATTTTCATAAGTTCTGTAATTACTTATAAGATGATTGATATAATCTTCTTCTATATACAGAGATTGCTATTAACAGTTAAGATACTATTTTAATAGATATAAGTCTGTTCTTTCTTATATATAAATATTATATGAAAGTATTGAATCTTCTAGAAATTACACAGTTTATATCAAACTCTTACAGTTTAATTCAGATCACTGATAATATAGTAATAAAGCTCTGAGATATCTATAACTGAGCAGAGATCTTCATAATAACTATAAAATAAGACTAAGAAGATTAAATTAATATCTGATAAGATTCTATAGAGTAGTATAAGATAGAAGATCTTATATAATTAAATCTCAAGAATATATAAATCACATATTCATCTTGTATACTAGACTACTATTATATCAGATATAAAGTGATAGAAGTTCTAGATAGTTATAACTACTATCTTAATATATTATCAGAAATTCATGATATATTTCATACAAGCTTACTCTATTATACTATCACTGATTCATTCTCTTCTCAGCTGACTTCTGACTGACAGTTATCAGATGTCATAGAAGAAGATAATGAGCTTGAGTGAGAGATTAAAGATATTCTTAATAAGAGATTTCACAGCTGTAGCTGATAATATCTTGTGAAATAAGTCAGCTATAATCAACTGATCTGAACTCTGAGTTCTGTGTTATTCAAAACAGCAGCTCTTGATCAATGAGAACTGCTTCTGAAAAGAAGGGGCTAATGTAGCAGGCTGCATCTGATCAATTATATAGATTATTTCATTACACTTCATAGATTCTTCCATTCTCAATTGCCGATCCGCGGCTGCTATGAACACGCGCATATTCTTCCACCTTGAAGCTCCACTGTGTACATCACCACATATGTGTATAAATATTCATCTCAATTGCTGATTCTCACACTTTCTCTTTCTTTCCTTTTTTAACATTTTTATCTTTGTTACATAAGACCTATAATATTATACCGATCTATTCGGCGTAGGCCTCTTACATTCATGAATTTGAGAGAATTTGACAGAATAATGATAAGAATCACAGAATAATGAGATTATTTCTTCTTTGATATTAAGAGCTCTTTTTAATGTCAATGCCTGAGTTGTTAATTGTGAATCTGACACTTTAATAAAAGCTGCAGAACTGTGTATTACAGATATATTTAAAGATAATATTAAGATATTAAGAAGATTGAAAGAAGAGATGACTTCAATAATAAGATCACTTATCTTCTTCTTATACAACTTCTTTAAAAGATCAATTATCTTCTTTTAATTCTTCTTCTTCTCAATGATGATTTTGTTAGTCTGAAATTCATGTTTATATAATATAATAATAGCTGTATAATCTATAACTTTCATCTTCTTACAGATCTGCTTTATAATATACTTCTCAGTTATCTTTTCTACAGTATATTGAATATGAAAGAAGCTGATAGTTGAATTATTTACTGAGACAGTTCAGTATTTGATCTTGACAGAATTCTTTATCTCATTGATAATCATCTGTTCATACAATCTGTATGAGATATCAGACTCAGATGTAGAGATTCACAGATATTGAGAATTCTCAGACTGAGTCTCTATATTCTTCTCATTCATCTGCTTCTTCATCTCATCATTGATCAGATTCTCTTCATTATCCAGAACTTCTGAAACAGGTAGTTTGAGGAGACTGAGGTGCAGGGTAGGAGTCTTTGTATGGGCTTGCAAAGCAGCAGGATGGCGGGCATTGCAAGACATATTGAAAAAAGGGTTGATTGATATATGTGGATTTGATGATAAAGGTAAGAAAGACGCGTATTTGGATGATATTTGATTGAAAAAGACGTGTATTGGATGATATTGATTCTAGAGAAATGCGGATATTTTGATTTTTTGGTGGTGTTTTGCTACTAATTTTCAGGGGGGGCTGGGAAAATTCTGTTTTCGCAAGTAATATGTCCGCCACAATACGCGGGTGATGAACTGTTGTCAGCTACGTACCATGAGGCAGATATGAGCAATAAGAAGCGGCTTTCATGATGCGCTGCTATACTATATAAAGGCTGAGTAGATGTCGTAGTTGAGGACATTTGATTAGATTTATCTCTTCACTGCACTTATCTAGTTACCATTGTCCCGACGTATCTTAAAATACTTCTTGTCTTCCCCTGATATCAAAATCATGCTGTTCATATCTTCAACACTCTCTGCATTCATCGCACTAAATATCCTACCTGTCATGCCCCACTCAAGGCTCTCCAACTCGTGCTGGTGCATTCCTAACAGCAAACCCGGGATACACCGTCCATGTTCCAACATCTGTGAACCAGGCATCCACCGGGTTAAGGTATGCAAACTAGGATAATATCCAGTGTGCCGCGCCATCCCTCGGAAAACTCCATTTCAGGAAACCAGCTGGTCCTCTGAAGCAAGACAGGATTCAAAATGGATCCACGCCTCTATTTTCTACCAATTGCATTAGTGCTATTCCATCTTTCTTCCCTGATTTGGGAATTAGTTCCAGGTCTTGGGGCTAGGAGAACTGTCTCTTTTCTTAGTGTTCAGGTGCCTGAAGGCGTCTAAAGGGAGACAATGTGCTCGTTCTTCATTATGTCCATGGGAGTGGCTATGTCTATGGGAGCAAAGACTTTGCAGGTGTCGCTCCAGATGGCACGGGCTATACGAAAATCTTTCTCCGTCGTCTCAAAAGTTCATATATGTGGCTAGCAACTATCAGTATGTTTGCCAACCCTATATATAACTAGGCTGGCTGGTATTAATTACTTTAGCTTTTAGTGTGGGCTTTTTAGTTAGAGCTCATTACCATCTGAAGATATGGATGCCAATATTGGATTGCATGATACGAAGGCCGCATTGGATTGGACATGAAACCACATATCCAACTTCGGTGGTGATCCTGATAAAATCACTACCATGGGAACAAGTGACAGGGCAGCAATGATAGATCTGTTGCTTGTTGCAAAAGGAGGCCATGAAGTTCTCCCTTTTAATCAGGTTCGTTCACTTGACCTTATTGAAGCTAACTGGTCAAATTCTCAGGCATTCATGTCATGGCCCTGCATCCGGCCTTGCTGAGACCCCACCTGCCAACAGGCTATGTTTGACGGAATTTTAAGGGCCGCAAACTGCACGACTGTTGCCTGCTTGCGCGATGCGCCGCAGGAGGTTCTCTTTAAAGCAAATTCGTTTCTTATCAATGAGGTCGGCGATGGAAGTACGGGAGCTCTTGGGCCCCTTACTGGCTTCACACCAGTTGTTGATGGGAAGTATATCGAAGACCTTCCAACTGCCCTTTTAGCACGAGGATCGTATAATAGGAAGGTGAAACGCGTGGTTGTTGGTACATGGCCAATGAGGGAACGGGAATGTCACTAGATGTCGGCATGCCAGATGCATTCCCTGCGCTTGTTCGAAAGACCTTACCTTACGCCGATGACGACACTATCAAATGCATCTAGTCGATGTATGAGTATCCCGCAAACCTCCCTCAAAAAATTTCATGGGACTGGGCGACCAATATGTCATTTTGCCTGCAACGCCTACTTTAACGCGAAGGCTTACAAAAACAAGGCTCAGCGATATGCAATGACGATCCCACCAGCTACTCACGGATTGGATCAGACCTGTACGATCCCCCTTTTTTATCATTTATTTTCTCGAGTCAGGTCTTTCTAACAGCTTGAAACGAACAGACTTCCTTTTCAACAGCAACGCCTCCACACCAGCGACAGACATCGCCGCGGCAAGAGAATTTCAGGAATATGTGCGGCGATTTGTGACATCTGAGAGGAATCAGGAGGACTATCGAGGCCTTGACGACTGGCCGAATGGTCCTGGAGAAACATCGTTCGAAATCGTACTTGGCAGTTTTGAAGTGCAAAAGGGATTACTGGGATGTCAACCACCGCTGTCAAGTCTTGAATGATATCTTTAGCGACAGGAAGAATGAGGCATAGGCATGTGTAAACTTTAGCGCACGAGATTCATATGAGAATCTAGCGTCACGTGCGCGAGATGGGTTGCTGAGGTGTGGCTGTGCCCGTATCCAGATGATACGAAGTGTAACTAGATTGTATATCTAATGTTTAACTAGAATGATCACATTTTCAGGTATATAGATGATAGATGCATTTATTGCACTAATCATCTGAACAACCATTGATAAACATAGAGCGTAAGCTACCAAAGCATCGAACTCGAACCACCGCTAAACTGGCCAAACACCAAATGCCTCAGCTAGCCGAGCCGTACAAATATACAACTCTCCCAACAGCAACATCCGTACAGGATCTACATACACAGCGTAGTAAGTTCGGACTAAGGTTGTTGTCGTCTAATTAAGCTTAAATCTTAGCGCCCCAGCGTTCTACCCTGGAGGTTTACTCCGTACACAGTAAGCTAATGTCGGCTTCCGAGGCCATACCCATGGGCCAAGACGCGCCCGTTTCATTAATAATAGCAAGGGACAACACGCGCCACTGTGTAAACATTGGCTAGCGAAACATATGCCCAAAGGACTTCACCGCAGGAATGCCACTGGGAAATCCGCTGAGCTCTCAGGAAAATGTTCCGTTCTAGCTGGAGACGAGTCACATGGCTTGGGACGTTTTATCGTCAGTTCCTCAGCGCTGTACTTATGGATCGCACTTGCCCTGCAGATGTGCGGTGTGTAGCATGCCTCTTTCCATCCAAACTAGCCCAAGTTGAACGAGGTGATAACTGTTGGATGCGCTTTCCCTTTTCTCCGCTGGGGGTCCCTTTCTGCTATTTATTGACCTCATCCTCTTTTGCTTCGGGCGATATGGTTTATCTTCGAACAACATCCAGATAGTACATAGACATTCTTCCCATTGCTGCAGAGCGCAATCAGCCTTAGCTTTGAATAAATTGCATATCTACCTGATATAGATTTGCTGCAAACGGCGAAGGTCAAAATATTTTCCTTGCCATAAACCTGATTTATTTTTATCAGGACATTTATGTCGCGGTTACCAGATGCCCAATCGAACTTGTCTCCTTTGTGCAGAAATATTTCGCCTCGGCCCGTGCAGTCGCCTTCGGGCAGTATAAGGCAGGGTGGGAACCATGAGTCTTTGGTCAAGAGGAGTTCAGGAAATTCAGGACTTACTACGGAGCTGTGTGAGAATAATGGACCTTTTTGTTTGTTTCATGTTTCTTTAAATCCTGCGCTATGTTTATGGAAACTTAAGAGTTTGTTGCTGGTTGTTGCTGACATCCGGTGTGCTCGCAGATTCCAGCAGCGTGACAGAATACTGCCCTGAAGACCGAAGGCAAATAGGTATCATCAGTGCTTCCTTTTTGATCTTTAATAGGATTATTGGAACAGGTATATTTGCAACTCCCAGCGCTATTCTAGCGCTCACAGGTAGTGTCGGGCTATCTTTGATAATATGGATAATGGGTATGGCTATTGCCATGACTGGCACGGCAGTCTACCTTGAGTTCGGCACTACGATCCCAAGGTACCTGCTAACCTTTTCCCGTGGCTCCACCCTCGCCTAATAGCTCTGTGTATTGACTAGTGATAGAAACGGAGGAGAGAAGAATTACCTCGAATATGTGTATACCAAGCCGAAATTCCTAGCTACAGCAATGTTCGCCTCGTATGCCCTGTTTCTGGGATGGGCGGCAGGTAATAGCGTCGCATTTGGCGAATATGTTCTTCACGCAGCGGATATTGGGGTGAATCGATGGAATCAGCGGGGTATCGGTTTTGCATGTATCACTGTGGCATTTCTCATACACGTAACCGCTGTCAAATGGGGGCTGCGTCTGCAGAATCTCCTTGGAGTTATGAAGCTGATTATAATCCTCATTATTGTGGTTGGAGGGGCTATGGCTCTTGGTGGCCACATGAAAATTGAGAAAACTAACAGCTTTTCTCACCCCTTCGAAGGAAGTATTCCAAGTGTATATGGGATCGTCACAGCACTGTATAGCGTGATTTGGTCGTACATTGGATACTCAAACGCAAACTATGTGAGTTAGCACGCTTCTGTCCCATACTTATTTATAATCTCTTCCTTACATATCACCAGTCGTTGAGTGAAACGAGAAATCCAGCTCGAACATTGAAAATCGCTGCGCCTATAGGGGTTGGTCTTGCGGGTGTTTTGTATATGCTTGTCAACGTTGCATACTTTGCCGCTGTTCCGAAACAAGATATCTTGGGTTCCGGACGTATCCTAGCAGCCTCCTTTTTTCGAAATGTTTTTGGGCCCAAAGCAGAGAGGATTTTGTCCGTTTTTGTCGCCCTGTGTGCCTTTGGGAATGTTCAGGCTGTTATATTTTCCCAAGGTAGAAGTGAGTACCAGACATGTACGCCTGCAGCCAAACTTTGATGGCTAATGTGCGGATAGTTATCCAAGAGTTAGGTCGAGAAGGCGTTCTGCCATTTTCCAGGTTCTGGGCAAGCAATAGGCCTTTCAATTCCCCAGCTGCAGGGCTTTTCGAGCATTATGCTATATCCGCCATTGTTATGCTTGCCCCCCCACCGGGAGATGCGTACAACTTCTTGCTCAAGTAAGTTTTAATCCTCTACATTCAGCGGCATGCATCTGACCATTTCCTCCAGCTTGATTGCATATCCGCTCTCAGTTGTGAACATATTTGTCTCTGCTGGCTTGATGCATATATATCTATTTCCGAAACGCTATCCCGACTGGTCTCCGACAATACGTGCCAGTCGACCAATTACCTTTTTTTTCTTACTTTCCAACGTCTTCCTGGCAGTGGCACCCTACCTACCACCGCCCGATAAAGAACATAATGTCTATGCACATTTGCCATACTATATTCATTGCGTAGTTGGGCTTGGTATTTTTGCGGTAGGTGCGATATATTGGCTGTTTTGGGCGGCATTATTACCTTGGATGGGCAGTTATCGCCTTGGGGAACAGATAGTTATCGCCCCGGATGGCTGGTCGAGGCAAATCATAACAAGAGTTCCTATCGGCGCCGAAGAGAAGGGGAAACTTGGATTGGAAGGAGGCGGAGCTGGCTGGAAAGGATGAGGCTGGGTGCACACCATTAGAGCTTGGTTTTGTTGGACGGATTTATCAAGCGACATGGGATAAAGCAGTTCTTCAACTAGTTATCATTATTGTAGATTATGATACATGGCTTATACACGTTACTTCTTAATAAGCTGGTCCCCGAATTGGGCGGGTCAGGCCAATCCTGCAGAGTGAGGATATCCTAGTTGTTTCTTTTCACACAATGACCAGAGGCAAATCATAAAATGAAAACATAATGTTCCAGTCTTCTATGGAGATGAACTCATTGTACATACCTACGCAGCAATCACTTCTGAGAATGATGATGAATAGGCAGTGGAACGCACCTCCTCAAACTTGCCGGATTTGTTCTAGCAAGAATCTATAGCCATTCACAGAATCTATAAAAGGCCGAGCAGATCAAGTCATGGTTTTTGGCTTGAACTGCCGGAATTGCATCCGCATTCTCGCATTTGTGGAGAAGGAAGAAGAAATAAAATCATGAAGTAAAAAAAATAAAAAAAATAAAATATAAAAGCATAAAAATAAAAACATAATGACTAAGCGCACCTATAAGTTACCAAAAACATACTAGTGTATTAGATCGGATAGGATCCCTATTGGGTCGGAGGTGGTACTTGTGAATGCTACCAAATTCGCAGGGACACGAGGTACCTTTCCCGTCGCCGGAGCTGATTCAAAACTCCGCCGCAAGCTGAAGATTTTCTGCGAGAAACACCAGCAGGAAACCGGAAGACATTGGCTATTATATTTTCGCGAACAAGCCCAGCAAAGCCCCATTGATTGTTTTATCTGTAGTCGGCTTCGATTTGGGGCTCAGCTGTAGTTACGCCAGCAGCCCGTAACCCGTCAGCAATTGTCCTCTCAGCCCAACCAGCCCGGTGCTGCATCGCGTTCATTGGCTCCGTCCTCTCTGCAGCCCCTCGTTCCCTCGCCCCCATAGCAGCAACATTCGCTCTGCCCCGCTTCGCCGCAGTCAATGCTTCCCCTCACCTACAGGAACGCTCGGTCGATCCTGAATACCGCAAAGAGAAAACAGCTTGGTTTCCCCGTCGCTGCTTCCAGACAGACTCTCCCTCCGCGACTTCCACATCTCGACGGAAAAGTTTATAGCTTATCAACAACATCAACAACATCCACAACATCTTCATCTCGTACATCTACAGCCTCTGCAACTCCATCCACAGCGTTCCCCGTCCCTCCTCGATCTCGATTCACCCCTCGAACCACCGTTGCCCGTCAGGCTAAGAGATACTGCTCCTATCGAAGAATGTGCCTCAGACAAGCAGACGATGTTGCTGGAGGAGCCACGGCGTTGGCTGGCCGGGAGATCCTCCCAACCAATGTTAAGCCATTGCACTATGACTTGACGTTGGAGCCGGATTTCGAGAAGTTCACCTACAAGGGTACCGTTATCATTGAGTATGTGACGAGATGTCCTTCTCCTCAAAATGAAGATCACCCTGACGGGATAAGTTTTACTGATTCCAATTTGTTTCACACAGCCTTGATACCGTCGAAGACACCAATTCTATTTCACTCAACTCCATGGATATCGACATCCATACTTCCGCTGTTTCCGCCAATGGCGTGGAGGTGGCCTCGAACCCTTTAGTCTCCATGAACAAGGAAAAGCAAACTGCCACTATTAGCTTCGAGAAAACAATTCCAGCTGGACAAAAGGCTCAGCTAAAAATGACCTTTACGGGTACTTTGAATGACCACATGGCTGGGTTCTATAGATGCTCCTATAAGGGCGCGAATGGCGAGAAGAGATATATCGCCTCCAGCCAGATGGAGCCAACGGATGCTCGAAGGGCATTCCCCTGCTTCGATGAACCTGCGTTGAAGGCGGAGTTCACTGTCACCTTGATCGCAGATAAGAATATGACGTGTTTGAGCAACATGGACGTTGCATCGGAGACGGAGGTACAGTCGGAGATCACAGGAACCACAAGAAAAGTCGTCAAATTCAACAAGTCGCCGCTGATGTCGACCTATCTCATTGCTTTTATCGTCGGCGAACTCAACTATATTGAGACCAATGATTTCAGAGTCCCCATCCGCGTCTATGCCACTCCTGACCAAGATATTCAGCACGGAAAGTTCTCCCTCGATCTTGCGGCAAGGACCCTTGAATTTTACGAAAAGGCGTTTGACAGCGAGTTCCCTCTCCCCAAAATGGACATGGTTGCCGTGCCAGACTTTTCCGCTGGCGCGATGGAAAACTGGGGCTTGATCACCTACCGTATTGTGGATGTTCTTTACGATGAGAAGACCGCGGGCGCGGCTACCAAGCAACGTATCGCTGAAACTGTGCAGCATGAATTGGCACACCAATGGTTTGGGAATCTCGTCACTATGGATTTCTGGGATGGTCTCTGGCTCAATGAGGGCTTTGCCACCTGGATGTCCTGGTACTCATGCGATGTCTTCTATCCTGAATGGAAAGTCTGGGAATCTTATGTCATCGACAACCTTCAAATGGCCTTGTCCCTTGATTCACTACGAAGCAGTCACCCTGTTGAAGTCCCTGTCAAACGCGCAGACGAGATTAACCAGATTTTTGATGCCATCTCTTATTCTAAGGGATCGTCTGTGCTCAGAATGATTTCCAAATACATGGGTGAAGAGAAATTTATCCAGGGCGTCCGGAACTACATCAAGAAGCACGCCTACAAAAACACTGAGACAGCGGACCTGTGGGCAGCACTAAGCGAAGCAAGTGATGGTAAACCTATCGAGTCGGTAATGGATGTCTGGACTAAGAATGTTGGATTTCCAGTCGTCGCTGTTTCAGAAAACGTTAGTAACGGATCGATTTCTGTGAAGCAAAACCGCTTTCTGAGAACCGGAGATGTCAAACCAGAAGAGGACAAGACCATATTCCCTGTGATGCTTGGGTTGAAGACTCGCGAGGGTGTTAACGAAGCACTTATGCTCAACGACCGTGAAGCGGAGTTTAAGGTTCCGGACCTCGATTTCTTCAAGCTTAATGCAGATCACTCGGGCATATATCGGACGTCGTATACTCCGGAACGCCTTGAAAAGCTGGGAAAGGCAGCTAAAGATGGGCTGTTGACTGTGGAGGACAGAGCCGGAATGATCGCTGACGCTGGGGCACTGGCTGCATCCGGTTATCAGAAAACATCTGGAATGCTTTCTCTCCTGAAGGGATTTGATAGTGAGCCACAATTTGTTGTATGGAACGAGATCCTCACCCGTGTTGCTTCGATCCGTGGCGCATGGATGTTTGAAGATAGCAAGATCAAAGATGCCTTGAAAGGCCTCCAGCGCTCCCTGGTCAGTGAAAAGGCACATGAGCTTGGCTGGACATTCTCTCAGGATGATGGCCACGTTCTTCAGCAATTCAAGGCCCTGATGTTTAGCGCTGCTGGATCTTCTGGAGATCAGCAGGTTGTGACGGCTGCAAAGGACATGTTTACCCGATTCGCAAACGGTGATCGTGCGGCTATCCATCCCAACATTCGGGCAAGTGTCTTTGATATTGCCCTTCGAGATGGTGGGGAGAAAGAGTACAATGTCGTGCTTGACTGGTACCGCAATGCGCCAACTTCTGCGGAAAAGAACACAGCCCTCCGCTGCTTGGGCAGTGCAGACAACGCCGAATTAATTCAAAAAACACTTTCTCTTTGCTTATCGGACGAAGTGAGAGCACAAGATATCTACATGCCGCTCTCCGGATTACGCCTGCACGCAAATGGTATTACTGCTAGATGGGAATGGCTTAAGCAGAATTGGGAAGCAGTTACCAAGCGATTGCCTCCTGAGTTTGGTATGTTGGGCTCAGTTGTGCAGATTTGCACAGGGAGCTTATCGACAGATGCACAAATTCAGGATGTGGTCGCTTTCTTTAAGGATAAGGATCAGAAGGTTCGCAGCTCCTCATTCGCCTCATTATTATTCCCCAAATAAATATGTATCATGTATCGCTAATAATTCACGCAATAGGGATTTGATCGTTCTCTTCAACAAAGTCTTGACGGCCTCTCTGCTAAGGCTGGCTGGCTCAAACGCGATCGTGCTGATGTCGAGAACTGGTTGGCAGAAAATGGGTATGTTAGCTCGAAGCAATCTTAGATTGCATTTCACACGAATAATAGATTAGGACTTTGCCATGGTGGTGGGTATAGGAACGGTGCGCACTACAGGGAAAAAGTTAGTGAGTGTTTTGTTCCACAACGTTAGGTGTTACTAAACCAGCGATATTGGTACAAAGGGTATTCAAACTCCTCGTGCCCCATCAAGGGCCTCCATGGATCACATACCTCTTCATATTTTAGAATAACTCCTCTCTATTAAATAATGCTTGATTAGCGTTTGATAATATAATTCAATATAATTCAATGGTAGTGAGTCAAGTATTCCGTATCAAAGAGTGATTTATGTTATGTCTATTATTTGCTTTGATCATAGTTTATACTTCGACCTTGCTCCCCGTATACCCCAGAATGAGGTTTATAATATACAAGAGCTATAACACCGCATATGCCCAATAATTACTCACAAATCCCAAAAGAGCGCCCAGCAGACCAATAGCAAAAGAAGAAAACAAAAATATGACATCAAAGCAAACGGGGAGGGAACAAGGGTGGGCCGGGGGAGTTCCTCTGATTTACCACCCCGCTCCACCTCCCTTCCCAGCGAAGCCGCTGCTCTCTTCGATCTTCTTCTGTGCCCCAGCACCCCGTACAGGCTTCGATTGGGCAGCTTCGTGCTTGCGGAGTTCTTCGGGGACGCGAGAAATAGCGGATTTCATAAGCATCTGTTTGAGATCATATCTGTTTGAAATATTAGTAAGAGTGCTTTTCGACATCAAAATAAAGAAAATCCCCGAAAGGGAGAAGGGGGTGGGGGGTGGGTCTCATACAGAACGTCAGAATCCTCGTTGCCCAAGAATGTAATCGCAATACCACTCTTTCCAGCACGTCCAGTCCGACCAATACGATGCGTATAGTTCTCAATATTCGTTGCCATGTTGAAATTCACCACCAGACTAACGTCAGGAACGTCGATACCACGACCAGCCAGATCAGTTGCAACGAGAACATCGGTATTTCCATTCCGAACGGACGCCAGCGCAGCCTCACGCTGCTCTTGCGTCTTGCTCCCATGCAACGTGACTGACGAATAGCCCATGTTTTTGATATCGCGCGCGACAGCATCGCAGTTGCGCTTGATATTGACGAAGACTATGATTGGTGGGCGGAATTCTCGCGACGATAGGATCTCGGCGAGGCGTTTCTTGCGCTTGTCTTCGCCAGAGATGAATTCGACGCGCTGCTCGACGGTGTCGACGGCTTCGCCGATGTTGCCGATTGTGACGATCGCCGGTCGCCTGAGGTATTTGCGTGCAATTCGCTCGACAGCCGGAGGCATGGTGGCTGTATACATCATTGTTTGTCTGTAGCGGTCTTTGCCACCGATATGTTGGCTCATTGCTTGTGGGTTCTCTGCGTCTTCCGTGTCTGGTTTCTGGTTCGTGACGGGGAGAGCGTCGAGGATTTTGTTCACGGGCTCCTCGAAACCAAGATCAATCATCCGGTCCGCTTCGTCCATGATAACGTAGCAGCATTGACTGAAGACGATCATTCGTCTCTCGATACAGTCTACCAAACGGCCGGGTGTGGCAATGATGATCTCCGCCCCGTTGCGCAAGCTGTAGGCCTGCTCTTCTAGAGAATGACCACCGACAATACTGACAACGTTGAAGCCAAGAGGGGCGGAGAATTTCTTGGCTTCCAGTTCGATTTGTTGTGCCAATTCGCGGGTTGGGGCCAATATTATCGCGTACGGACCGTCATTTCTTCTCCATTCAAACTCATCTAGACGTGGGAGTTCCGCTATGTAGACAAGCAGAGGGAGTAAAAATGCGGCAGTCTTTCCGGAACCAGTCACAGCAACACCGATAAGGTCACGATTCTGCAATGCAATAGGGATAGCAGCTCGCTGAATAGGTGAAGGGTCAGTGTATCCAACTTGCTCAATGATGTTGAGAAGTCTTTTTGGAAGTCCTGATTCAGCCCACGACCGCATGGGGTTGGGAATGCTTCCTCCTTTGGTACTGATATTGAAATCTTCTTTGAAGATTCTCCAGTCCCTTTCGCGCATATGCTCCAACTTCTTCTCAGACCAATGCGCGTCCAACATATGCCGTCCGCCCTCTTCCTTCCTTCTTCTTTCCATTTCCAAAATCTCCCTCGCCCTAACCCTGCCAGCCTCCGGATCTCTATCTTCTAAAGCTCTTGCGTAGTTTCTCGTAACGGCATCGGCAAATTCATCACTGAACCCAGCTAAACGACCACGACCATAGAAATTTGCTGTGGAACGGTTTTGATAGAGCGGATTGTAATCAGGACTCGTATCTTCATCCGCATTCCATTCAAAGTTAAACTTCCTCTCTGTTGTCCGCCTTCGTTTCTTCTTCGCAGAGAAATTCGACGTTTGGCCACTTCCCATATACCGTTGGCGTATCAACGCAGCTTGGGCTTCTTCTGGAGAAGGACGCTTTTCCCCCTTTTGTTCAGCCTTCGGCCCAGGCAAAGGAGGCGGGGGCATATCATTTTGTTTCGTGCGCATCGCAGCTGGAGCAGTTGGGATTTCTCCATGTCGCAAGCCCCGAGGGCCAGCGGGAATCGAAGCCCGCGAAGGTCCATCGATTCTATTGCTTCTTGATGGTGGGGAAGGATATCCATTCATTTCAGGGCTTCGAGATGAGGAGGGCCCAGTACCGTTCGCTTCCAGACGTCTTTGATTTTCGACTTCCTTCGCGCGTTTCTCCAACGCGAGCTTCTCTCTTTCCGCTCTCGAGAGGAATTTGGGCTAGATATTTAGAAAGGCAACAACAGAGTCAGCGATCAACCTATATCTTCTGTGAAGGATAATAATCTATCCAGACATGCCGAAATACTCATTGAAAACAAAATGTACATGTAGGGAAAAGAGGGGCAAATAGCGCAACATGTGGGTGTTCAGTTCAGCCTAACGTACCTTTGATGCGGCTTCATCAGCTTCCCGCTTCTTTCTGAGAAGTTCCTCGACACTCAGAGGCGTAGTTGATCGTTGGCTTCCCCAGCCTTTTTTCCTCTTAGCTGCCGGTAGATCGGGTGGCAGCGCATCGTCTGGAGGAGGAGGGGCTGTGGAGTCTGGGGGCGGCGGAGGAGGAGCAGCAGCTTCTGGGGGCGGAGGAGGTACCAGAGATTCGGGAGGGGGAGGGGGTGGTGTAGGAGGCCGCTCTAAGAGTTCCGGCGGTGGACCGGGAGGTCTATTTTCAGCGATCCAATCCATGTTAATGGTCAAATCACAGATGCTCTTCAAAGAAATCAAGATCTGGCGAAGTATATCGTTCGCGTTTTGCCGCCGAATGGAGCACTAATTAATAGATCAAGTAGTTAACTAGTGGTTAACTAACTAACTAGCTAGCTTATAAATATTTTAGTCAGCAGCATGTTCGGGAATAACAGACAAAGAGGAGGAGCAAAGACGTGAATTGCAATCATTTTCATTCAACTTAGTTAGAACATTCAAATATTCTACATTTCAAACTAGGGTATGAAATGTAGGAGTACCTTTCCTTCAAAGAGTTCAGCTTCACAACATGTTTAGAAATCAAGCAGCATAAAATAACAAAGAAATATAAAAGACATAAAAAACAAGGTACGAAGAGTAAAATACATCCACCTCCATTCGATCATTGAAACAGAGAGCATCCTCAAATGGAGGCAATGGAGCAGGTACCCGAAAGCTGACCATCATCTCATACCACCCGGTACATTATTTAAATCCATTAATGGTATCCCTGCAACCGCTGTCTACAGAATTGCCTCCGAGCCCACGCGTCTAAGAAGTGAATAGAGAAATTTTTCTGCAATATCTTTTGCCACTAACATGGAGAGAAACGGGAAGTAATGTGTGCCAGGCAGGAACCAAATCCGAAATGATAATAACACAAGAGAATCGTACCACTTGCGCCGGGGGTTATTGAAAATAGCAACATACAACCGAGAAAATGCTTAAAACAAGGCGGGTGATGGGTGTTATACACCCCCATTAGATGAAATGGGTCTCTCGGTTGGTTGATGATGCTGTTTGCCTTGCGGAGCCTGAGCTTGCTGGTTGACTGGTTCCGTGGCTGGTGGGGGTTGACTTCCATTTGAGCTGGATGGCGCTTTATTAACCTGGATATCCTTGTCGGCTAATGGTTTCATCAATGCCTGCACGGATTGGGGACCATTGACCTCGCGGTCGAGAGTCATATACTCCCTTGCAGATTCATTCGAGCCTCGTTCTAACAAGTATAACATATAAATTTGGACAAGTTCTTTTACAACCGCAGGCTGTAGGGTGCTCTTCGATCGAATCTCGCTCATCACTTGCTTAATTCGCTGATATTGTACATCCTCGGTTTCTGCACTGGTAGGCTGTTCAAGTTCGAACATAAGATAGCTTGTCCAGAATGGACGACTATCTGGGTACCATTGCTGGTTTTTCTGGAATACTTGGCGGGCATCATCCGGGGACCCCTTAATCTTCCACAGCAATTTCGCCCATTCTGCCACAAACGCCGCTTTAGCTTGGATGTCGCAGTGCGGAGCGTCAAGTTGAGATTTATAAATCTCTATCGCGGCCTCCAGGCCTCCATGGCGACGTGATAAGTTCGCAAGCGACACAATAGTTTCAATGTGGCCAGGAAGTGGCACCAGAATCGCGGAATGAATATCTTTGGCAACGTCAACGCGCCCAGATAATTCTTCGAAATACGCATAATGAAGTCTGACCTCAGGCCGCGAAATGGGGACATATAATGTGCTGGCACGCTGGTATATATTGCGAACTTCCTCTTCCTTGCCTTCTTGGGCTAGCATCCACCGAGCATATCGAAGCCAGAATTCGTCATAATGTGCACATGTAACGAGGCAGCGCTCGTACAAAAATTGAATTCTCGAAAACGAGCCGTCAGCTTCTTCAAAGTCAAGGTACTTCCTCCAGTTAGACAGCTGCGCTTCGTCTAGCTCCGTTACGTGAAAATAAGGTCGCTTTATTTCAGATTCATATGTCCATCTTTTAGTGGTTTCCGTTTGCGTTCTCGAAAAGATTTCCAGATGGTAGCTGTCGATCCGAAGGCGAAGATCTCTTTCTATTTCTGCCTCACTCTTCGACCCTGGCGGAATACCAGCTACTGCACCGTCCACTTCTGCACGAAATTGGCTTAATGGCTCGGGTGGAACTAACTCAGAGACGGGGCGGGTTTGAGCCATCTGGCGATAGCGCTCAAAGTATCTTGCGTACTGATGCATGGGAATTTCAATCACATTCGCCAATATGGCGAAAATCTTGTCATGAGCTTCAAGACGTTCCTCAAACTCGATGTACTTGTCCCAGAACGGATGGGCTAGGAAATCCAACCCCACGCAGCTCGCACCCCTATCAAAAAGTCTATTTCCATTAATGTTAGCTAATTCGTATTCAATACGGTGGAGGGGAAGGGGAAGGAAAGGAGAGGAAGAAATGAGGGAGTGTGAAGGATGGCAAACATGGCATATGCAATAAGTCTTCAGTGAAATGCCCAACTGGGGCAAGGTCAACGGAGAATGGTATTTCATCGTGCGGCAAATAGATAGAAGGGTCCCCGAACAAGGTCATTGTTGTGCGAAGGAAAAACAAGAGCCTGAAACTCAAGGGTGAGAAGAAGTTTCAAGGGGGAGTCCGGGTAGCAGATGACTATCTCACCCATCAAGGAACTTTTGTTGATGATACTAATCTGCACCTCTTGTCCTGGTGATCACAACAATATCCGCGCTGTGTCGGTATAGTTATGGGGAAGGAAACCAACACGCCCATACTTACTCTCGAATAATGTCTGCATCGTGGGAAGTTTCGACTTTGAAAGCGCAGTAGTTGGTCCATAGATCTACGGAATTCGTAATGCTCGCAACACCTCGTTCATAAACCTACCAAATTACATCATTATTTCCGGTTCATGTAATATACTTTGGATGTAGGGTCCACAAAAAAAAGACTTCGAAAAATAAGGAAATATGCAACATACCATTTCTGCAGCTTCTGTCCCGGCAATTGAAAACTCTAGATCAGCATACTTTTTCCAGTATCCGAACAACAGTGGAAACTTGGCCAGAAACCGATCGTATACGCCTCTCGTAGCTGTGATAGCCTGGGGATTAGAATTGCGATTGATTCCCCCTTCCTGCCCCTCTGCGGCGCGAATCAACTTCTCCCAGTTTTCGAAATTATCAGGATCTTCTAGCTATAGTAATAAAAAGGAAAGTTAGTCTATGTTTGCGACCTCAAGCGCGACCCTCAACGAAAACAACTCACCACCTCCGCGTGCAGCTTCTTCAATTCCGCATTCTCCTCCTCTGTGCCACCGAAGATCACGTCAGCCATATCGACGACTGGTCAGGCTGTAGGCCCGGGAAACGTATACCGAAGTGTATAGAGATCTAGAAAGTAATTGAATAGGCACTGGGGGTTTGATAATGGGTTGTTGATAGATAGATGAATGAATGACTAAAGGGATTATGAGGAGAATCAGACAGCAACGAGGAAGAAAAGAGGTTGCACGCCGCGCTGGGTTGCGGAAAGTAAACTGTAGCACAAGAGGCTCGGGGGCTTGGCGGGCCTTTCATCTCGCAAGTAAGACGTATTGTTACTGGAACAATACGGACTTTCCTTTCCGTTAAGCGGCAACTTCCCGCGCCCAGCCACATAAAGACTGAAATATTACCAAAGTTACACACTAAGAATATCACGTGTAATATCTATCCCAAATTGTTTTAGTTTCTCCCTCCAACACGTGACCAATTTTCACCACTTTCAATCGGCGCCAACATCAACAACCTCAGCAACCCATCATCATCCTAAGGCTAAGAAAGGGGGCCACTGAGCCAGTATATAGCTCCAATGGCTACTAAACAGGCTGCCGCAGGCATTTTGGAGAACCTCCCTGTCCGGCTCCGCAACTTTTTCGCCCGCTACCCGCCGCAAATATACTCCGCAAATGCCCTTGGAGCACCAAAACTACCAGAGGGTGTCGAGCCCCCAGCTCCAGCTCCAAGTCCCTATACGCCATCTCGCTCCTCTAAAGCTTCAAAAATAGACCAATCTGCCTTCTCAATGTCACAGGCCTTCCTCCGCTCCGATCCAGAACACCCAAACCCATTCCTTCCATACAAGAACCCCGAAACAGGGCGATGGCGGGGCGCCATGATTTCCCTCCGACGGCAGAACGAATTGGTCAAATTAGCTGCGCAATATGGCGTTGAGGAACTATTACCTCCCAGTCGCAAGTCGACGGTATATAAGGAGACGAAGGCTGTTGAGAAGGGATTGAGAATCCGCGGCACGGGTATTGGTCAGAAGGTTAAGGGTCATAAGTGGGAGCGGACGCTAGAGGTTAGGTTGGAAGATCGGAAGAAGGCCATGATGGGTATGCCGGCGATGATCAGGTTGTGGAAACAGGTATGTTCTTGCTTTCTAGCCCCAGCTTGTTCCCAGCTGTTGACTTCAAGGGCTGGTGGCTAACTAATATTTAACAGCGGGGTCACGGACGAGGGTGGAAGAAATATCCACGGAAGTAAAGGGTATCTCAAGAGTGGTGGGAGTTTAATGTGCTTTCTATTTTTATTTTATCTTTGCCCGTTTTCCTTGTCAAATTTTCTCTTGTATGAGTATGGGTGCGGCAACTAGGTATTATTGTATATGTATATTTCTGGCTGCTTCTTTGCGTCTCCCAAATTTTTTTCTTATGGTTTGATATATATATGCTACTTTTAGAAATAGAAAACAGCATGTCATGTTCAGAATATCCCGCGGGCCATGCCAAATTAAAGGATTTCTCCTCTGCTGCTTGTCGGAGCTTGGTCTCCGGGTTAACGGTGAAGTATTCTTGAACTATCTATAAATTATGTCCGCTAGGCAGAAAAAGAGTCACAAGCGTGGTAAGGTATCAGGGAGCGTGGCCATTATATCAATCCTTCGCAGCTTTCGTTATGTACATTCATTACATATACTCATATCTAAAGCCAATATATACAGGATATAGCTCACAACATTTCTTCATACAGCGGCTCAACAACTTGACCACTCCTTATCATAACCTTTCCCTCGTCTACACCATCCCAGGAATCATCAGGCGAAAGGCAAACATGTCTTCCGAACACAACCTTGCCACCAATTTTCCTTGTCTTCGCCAGGGTCGAGAAGGGTTCTTCGCTCCTGACGGCTGTGAACTGATCTACGCATACCATCTGGCAGCGCTGACATGAGCCCAGGACGTCAAATTTGTGAGACCCAATTCGGAACCCTATCCATCTATCTTCGACGTATGGCTGTTCGGCCAGCAACGTTGGCGGTGAAGACATAAGGCTAGGAGTAGTGCGGTTGCTGTCTCCATTCTTGTTATTCAACGCCAGAGTGGGGTTCTCAGCGACAATGATGTTTGCTCGGAATACATCAGCGGCGACCGCTCTCGTGGTCTTGGACGCGGATTTGCCGAGCGATTTAATAGTTTCGTTAAGTTTGTTGACACTGGACCTGGAGATTAGCAGCACGGGGCTTTCGTTTGACAAGCGGATTGGATTCTTGTATAGTTCGCACGAAGGCGTGGATTGCGGGAAAGCGCCTGGCATGCTGTTAGAGGGCGATATGGTATCAGGGGGATGGTAACGTAGCTGGGGTTTCGAGTATCGGACGGATAAATTCGCCGGGAATCTAGCAAGTGTGCATGGGACTTCAAGAAACTCAGAGAAGAATTTTGCAACGACCGGTGACGAATATATTTGTACAGTTACCCTATCACCGCACACCATGGAGGACTTCTTCATGGAGTTTTCATAGAGTTCAGCTATCGAGATGTCGACCGATTGGCCTGATAAAGGCAGCTCTAGGGAATTATTGTCAGTCCCTGGCATGCCACGTGAAATCTGTAGGACTCCCCGGTCAAGATCAACCACAGGGCGTATAAGAGCCATTCGAGGATATCTTTTCTGGCTGAGAGCTACCCCCGTGCCCTGGTGCATTAGACACCATTCTCTATCCCATGCAAGTCCTTCCGGATTAATCTCCCACTCCTTGCCATCGGGGACTATAAAAGCTCCACAACTTTTGATCGGATACACGCAGAGCTTGTCAACATAGAAGTTAGAAGCTGAGGCCTTCTCGGATAGTGTAACAGTTTGAGATGTTGAAAAGGAGCTCAAATTGGATTTGTCCACATAAAACTCATCAATGAATTCCAGGAATCGGTTAACATCGCCGATGGAGCTCATAGCACCAAGGCTAACTCTTAGACCTCCTGTTGGTTTGCCTTCGATAACATCGATGTCATCTCCACACCGTTGACCCGCATTATAATTTCGTTTCATTTCCTCAACTTTCAATCCAAGGTGGTATGTCATGCCACCTGGATTGCATAATGTCCCGGACCGAATTTGGATATTCTTCACTGCAGCGAGTTTCTCAACTTCCGATTTCCCAATCCATTCACCGTTGCTATTCCTCATGTTGAATGAAACAATGGGGCCCTGGGTAGTTCGGTCATTGTAACTAGATGTTTTGTGCTTATACATTTCACAAACAACGGCTCCGTTTGCGTGCCTTTTGTCCACCAAAGCATCATACAGCGTCTTGGCTAACGAGCCAGCGTGGAGAGAGATATTCTCCATGGATCCGTAAAGTCGTTCATGTATGTCGAAAGCTGAATGCAAAGCTATAATGCTGTGGAAAGGTAAGGTTCCATCCTCAAGTTGATCGTGAATAGAAGTCGATTTCTTCGCATGCCACTGATCTTCAAGACTCGTAACCATACCAACTGTGCCCCCTCCAAAGTAGCTTCGCTTGTCAAAGATATCATGAGAGCCCTTACGAACGATAAGAGCGCCAAGATCCGGAAATCCAAAAATTTTATAAAAGCTGAGGACCGTAAAATCAGGGGCAGAATCCGGATCGCTAAGATCTAGTGGCGATGTAGAGACGAGTGACGCAGCGTCCAAAAGTGAGTAGATGTTACAAGCTCGGAGCTTGTGACACCAGTCAAGAGGTAGGCGACGGCCATTCATATTCGATTGAGCCGGATACGCGAACAGAGTGGGAAGAAATGTCCGCCTTCGCATATTTGACGTGCGTTGATGAGATATCCACTGTTCAACTTCCTCGTCGTCCGCGAAGCACCTCCGCCCCCTTGCTGCCAGCTCTCTCACCCCAACCAGACTGGTATGCGCATCCCGATGATACCCGTACCAAAACCCGTTCTCGTCATAGTCTCTTAGTGCATCCGCAACCAGCTTGATCCCAGCGGTTGCATTTGCGACGAACACAACATCGAAATCATCAGGGCTGGCTCTAAAGAAGCGGAGAACTCGTAACCTGGCATCGTCCACCCGCCGTGTAGAGAGTTGGGAAGACGAGGATGCCGAATGGGGATTTCCAAAAAGATTCGCCTTCATTTCTTGTGAAAATGCATCGATGAGGGATGCTGGGTAGAGTGTTGTTCCCGCATGGTCCAGATAGGTTGTTTCTAGAGCATCGGCCAGATGTGTGTTAGCTAGGGCAAAGAATGGGAAGCACAAAATGAATAAAGGATTCCCAAGGCGTTTGTTTGAAACACTAAACGATATATGCATCTAAAGGAAAAGCTGGTAGATCAAATCAAACCTACCTTTGAGAGTGGGGTATTCTCGCTCTCTAATCTCTTCAATCCAATCTGTATAGAAGGAAGCCTGCTGCCTGACGCGGCCAGGCCGGCCATGCGGCAGCGGACGAAGGGGTTGTTGGCCCGTCATGATAATAGCCGTGAGAGTAACTATGTGTTACCTAGGTAACGCCATGCAAGCTCTAAAAGCAGCCATCTGATCATTTTTCAAATGATGCTAAGTTAACTCCCCGAACGAGACCTAGATAGCATTGTTTTGCCACCATAACAGAAAAGAAACAGGAGAGATAAAAACAGTTCGGGCCAGACAGAGAAAAGTATTATCTTATACAGGGCCGACAGAGTAGGCGAGTTTTTAGAAACCCCATTATTGTTTGCCACTAATAAGACGTCGTTGTCGTCGGAGTTCGACGCAGCTTGGAAGTGTGTGGAGGCGGGGATCCAAAGGGAAAGTTTCGGCCATCGGAACCGCCCGAAAAATCTCCAACGCCGGCCGGTACGGTAACTACAGTAACTACAGTTCCTAGGTACAGAGTAGATAACGGACTAATCACTCCCTATCAACAAAGATATAGGAGAGTATTTTGTTTTTGTTTTGCAATTAGTTCTCCCTTAACTATACAGTCTACTCCGTATACTGACTGGACTGACTGATGCCTGAGCCCGGTTTACCGCAGCCCCCACGTTAGAGGCGGTTAGCTACATAGTGCTAAACAGGGGCCTTTTGTTCCACAACAATGATGCTCTGCTCTGCAGCAACCAATGTCAGATGGGTTCAGGAAGAACTTGAACCCGAAACACAATGTCGATGGCATAGCAAAATAAAGCAAGTAATTATACACTAAAATTGGATTAATATAAACAGATCAGTCTTCAAGAGTGGAGATGCTCCGGTTGACTCTGACGTACACGATAGGACATTTCTACTCTGCACTGAGCCGTTGAAATAAATTTAGAAATTGAGAATTAACTACGTTTCTTGAAAATCTGATGATACCACTGTCACTGAGATCTTGTATATAGAGCCTCGGTGCTATATGATATACCACTGAGGTCTTGATTTCCAGACAGGGTCATGATCAGTCAAGTATCTCTCTTTGTTTTTTACGATAATAACAAATCCGCGTAAATATTGTACTGTATATCATCAGACTCAAAAATACTTTTTTATTTGAATAGAATTGAGAATGAAATGATAAGAGATGGACAAACTCTTGACAATGTTCCAGAAATACACTCAATTGTATAACCTCTAGAGAGCAAGAGTCAAGAATTGAATGAATCCCTTGCTCTCTCACCCACATTTTCCTTATTAGGTTTAGCATCTGTGGCATTTAGTGGTTTCTATCAACCTTTTTTCAACCTCATTTTTCATCCCTCGCGACCGTATTTTCATTCCCCGCGACCGCCCCTTTCCGGACAGGGGGACTGTGGCGTCCACTCTTGCTACTTCCCAGGGCTTCCACTCCTTCCTTCTTCCGCTCCATCTTTCTTCCCCTATCCGGAATTCCCAGGGCTTCCGCTCCTTTCTTCTGTAAAGTCAATCATGATAAACAGACAAGCATGTATATATATATATATATATAGGGGCGCCCGCCCATCTCCATCTTCGGGAATGAGACGAGATTTTACCATTTTACACGTACTATACAACGGTTGGCCGTACGCTACAATTGGCGTACGCTGCAAAATCACTGTAAATTAACTCTATGTTCTTCTGATATGATAGTTTCTTATTTAAGTCATTCTTTGCAAATTAACTATTGATCATTTGCATGAACATGACAAAGTCAGGCTGAAGCTCTGGTATTTTTCACAGATGCAGGAACATAGCTTTCTCTTTTTTTTCTCTTTTATGTGGCGACCCCTGTATTTGCATTATGTAAAGTCGGTCCTATAGCTCAGTTGGTTAGAGCGTGGTGCTAATAACGCCAAGGTCGCGAGTTCGACCCTCGTTGGGACCATGTCTACTTTTTATTTTATTTCTGTTCTTATTCACCGAATTCCTGAAAAATTCATTTTTATTCAGCTGTTAATTTTTTGTATAGTTCACTGATATGTATTTGGCATGGACATAATAAAATACAATGCCTCATCTTCAATTCTCATATACGGCGATGATTAGTGAAATGAAGCATAGCCTCGAACCAAGGTTCTACGAGGCAAACTTGGGGAAGCTGCTTGGACTGTGTGATCAGAAGGTCAGGTCTTTTTACAACTAGAGAGACAGAATCATAAATGCGGATTGAGAATGAAACTTCCAAGGGCTTAAAATGTCTATGAAAATTCCTACTCTCTCTTCAGAAGGAACGAATTACCAGCGCGCGGATAAAAGTAAGCTCGGGTTAAGCAACTGAGATACTAGTTACCAAACCTTCTCTATGCTTTACCATATCCGTCTATGCATGGACCGGTGACAAGATACTGTACATGTATAGGTACGGTACATGTACATGTACATACATACTGAGATACTGTTTGTATGTTGAACTCACAAGATCTGGTGAACGCTCCTGTGAAACAACAATTAGCGACCAGCCCAGATCTTGTTTATACGCATAGTAGATGCGTTTCGTAGCAAAAATTAACCGATTCATAAAAAATGCTAATTTTCGAAATGGCATAGCCGGGGGGTGGGGTCAGGGGAAAAAAAAAAGAAAAAAAAGAAACTTTTTAAGGTGGTCTCAACCCCAGTGAGCTATAGGATCGATATTATTAGTTGACAATCAATAGAGACTCATCCCATTGGCTGACATGGGAAAATCATCCACGGGAAGATCTGAGGTTAAGAACCGTTACAATTTCAGAGGTGAGTTTTCTGTTTACGATGGATCTCTACTTCCACTCTGGAAGCCAACTTTGAGCATAAGCATGGTGGTGGATCGGGAAGATTAAAGAACCTTAAAACCACGACGGACCCACAAAGGTGGGGAGCCACGCGACAGGTCGGTCTTGATGCATATAGCCAATCAGGACGTCGGACCAGGTTGCGACAAGGAAAAATTGGCCAGAACAATAATAGGGTAGATAAACACGGAGTAAGGAGGTAAAGTATCAATGGCGTATCTCATTCCTCAATATTAGGGATCTACCTCTATGGGCTAAATCCCCCGGTACCACTACCTTTAACGGAGCGGATGAGTGCGAAAATTACTGTTGAGAAATAGGTATGGCATTACGATATCTACAATGCCTATCATTCAACATCAAGCTACTCCAGCGCACGGGTAGCCTGGTGACTCTCAATAACACTGCAAAGAGTACGACTCTAATAATTAACTACCATACCACATATTTAATGGCGGAGCGCTATATACATATAGATTAAAATATCAAGAGTAAAAATGACAAAACATAAGGGAAAACGAACAATCGTAAAAACATTCATCAATTGATGAATCGTGCTGGGACCACTCCCGAATTCATGTGAAGAAAAGGCGGCGAAGACCCATAAGAATAATACAAAAATTTTCAAGCAAAGGGATGGAGGGGGTGGGAGGTGGGGAGAGAGTGTAAATGGAAGCTTGATACTGTTTTGAATGGGCTAGTTGATTGTCAGCGGAGGAGACGGGCTTGGGGAGGGAGAGGGGGAAAAGGAGAGAAAAGGTGTAAATCGTAAACTAGTGGAGTTAGACAAGCGACATTGCAAAAGGGGGAAAAGGCTAAGCAATATCAAAACAAAGCAACACTCATAATTGGCAACATAAACATCGTTTTCCTGGTCATCAAAATTTCTCACGTCATATCCCTCATATCCTGTGTCTGTTTTCATCTTTCATAGGGATGTAACATAGCACCCATCTCAGTCGTACGATAAAACAAAGAAAAGGTGTGACCCTAACATGTGTACCCGACTATAGAACCCATTATTTTTGCCCAATATATCTCTCGGATAGAAAAAAGGAAGAAAAAAGGGGGAAAAGGAAGAGAAAAGAGACTTCATGACTCAAACATCATAAACAGGCTGTCTCCCGGAGCTGCTTCTCCGATGCCTACTCCCCGAATGCCCACGACGGCTCGAATGCGACCCTCGTCTGCGCGACGAGCTCTTCTCATGTTCCTTCTCCTCATGACGATGCATCAGCATTGCCAGAACAGACGTAATGAAAAACGAGCCAATATTCATAATCCCAAACGCAAACGCGGTCTTGAGCATCGCACATATTTTCGTCGGGTCGCGCGCTAGTGGGTTATTGGCGCGCTGGCCCGCGAAGCCGAAGGGGCCCAGAGATAGAGTTAGCGGGTCCGCGCGGAAGTTTCCGCAGTCTGCGTTCGCGATGCGGCGCAGTTGGTAGACGCCTGCGATGAAGGAGCCAACGAAGCAGAGGTCGATGAAGGCGACGAAGTGGGCGGAGCGTTTGGCGTTGGAGTGGCGGACGAGGGTGTCGAGGGCCCAGAAGATGCCGATGACGCTGACGATGAAGAGGACGAGGATGTAGGTTGGGGTTAGTTGGTTGTTTTTCACGAAGCCGTCGACGAACCAGGACTTTTTTGGTGCGAACGGTGAAGTTAGCTTTTGTATTTATTTATTTACTCATGGGCGCTTGGGTGGTTGATGAGATTGAGGGATATAAAGATGTATTTTGTCTTTTCCTTTGAACTCACCAGAATGCCAATGGGGATAATTAGGGTGACTAGTTGGCCTAGTCGCCAGCAGATAAAGAAGAATCCGGCGATCATGTCTGCAGGCTGGCGCGGGGTTCAGTGGATTATTAGGTAGTGTGAAGAGGAAATGCAAATGATGGTTGTGGTGATAGCGGATGCTATCCAACCGGGTGGCTTGCCCACCAGAAGATGATCAGGACGAGATAGGTGCGATACGATGTGGTGGGGAAAATTTGGGTTCAAGGACTCGAATAACACAAAAGCAAACAAGTTTGTACTGTAGTGGGGCGTTTTAATATGTTGCTACTTCAAAAACGATAGGATACAACAGCTGTAGACAAAATATTCAGTACTCGATATATAGAGAGCGGGTATTTGCCTGTCTTCGTCAAGACTGAGATTGGTATATGGCCGCAGATAGAAGCATGTCATAGCGAAGGAAGGGTTCGAGGAATGAACGAAAGAACGAGGACCATCGCGCATAGATGTGTTAAATATAGCCAACCACAGCAAGAGGGCGCCCAGAAAGGCCAACCAGCCCAGGCGTGGTGCAGCAAGGCTGAGGTGGGCGGATTAAGTGCGGTGGTTGGAGGGTTGGAATTTATGTGGCTGGGAAGCTTGCAGCCTCTACTCCGTACATAAAAGAGAGGGCGGGGTCGTGGCCAGCTTCGTTGGGCCAATGGCTAGCCAGGTTCTGGGCAGCTGGTTTGGTTGTTGACAACGCCTGGTAGCGGAAAGAAAATGAAGCGATTGATGTTGAACGCCATGGAACATATTTACTCGGGATCTAGACATCAGCCTTCGATTTCGTACATTAGAGGCTCAGATACTGTTTATCGTTTGATCCCGCAACTCTAATTTAATCTGATCTTATCTCTGTGCGTGGCGGCCGCTTCCATGGCAACCCTTGTTTATGTAATCAATTGTTAAATCCATGCGTAACCATTTTCTTGCCGATACATACCGCCTTCTGATAGATCAGCTGTGTGCGAAAAGTTTTGTCTCACACTAAGAATTTATCCTGAAATGTGATTACTAGTGTATTGAATCTCCAGGCCACACCACCTAGGATTTAGGCAGTGAGCGAGCTAGAGACAGCAGTCTCGATAACCCCTGGAACTCCCTATCCTTTTAATTAAGAGATGGAATGGCAATACTTAATGCCGGTATCAGCATTTCAGTTTAAATTCTTAGCACAAGTCAAAACTTTTCGCGGGAGCGGCCGTACGCTATAACTCTTTGGTACCTTAACCTGGAGGGAGATATCTCTTGAGAACGATCAGGTAATGTAGAGTGAGATAACTACTACAAGCAAAAGGACTATGGAAAAGAATATATAAATGCATAGCATGTAAGATAGTATCTTATTTATGCCATTGCTTCACTAGACTGACCAGCTTGCTGCGCTCTGCCTTGTCAAAAGATAAGAATTTACTTTGGAAAAAGAAACATACTACAGTGACATACAATTTGAAACTAGAGACGCGAAAAGAGGATGCCCGGCTTGAAGAATAGTACCAGCAAGCGGTGATGGCAACAGCAGCAGAAGTAAAAGGCATGCATCGGGACTGAAATTGCCTCCACGGATGAAGCATATGGCAGACAGGCAAGATAGCCAGCGAGTTTAAGAGGAAATATAAAAATTAAATATAAAAACGGAACATAGAAGTAAAAAACCCAAACCCCGGAAATTAAAACGCAAAATAATATGAATATAGAACATGAACATACCCCACCGCCCGGATAAGCCGTACCTCTACTTGTATGGCTCAAAAAACGCCCCCTTACCAAGTCAAACAGGAAAACAAACCGCGATAAAACAAACGGCAATAAAGAGCAAGGAATAAATTTTATAGTGTGCAGCCAGCGGGGAATAGTAGGCGGAAAATGCGAAGAAAAAGACAAACCAGAAGACGAGAAGGAGATATGAAAGCCAGGTGCCAACCCGTTGAAATGGGATCTAAAGGACTCTTATGACAGAGAAGGAACCGAACCAACAGGCGAAATAAAATGACAAAAAGGAGTCGCAATTCATGATGATGAATAACAACAACACAAAGAAGAAGGAAAAAGGGAAGGGCAATTTCTGCAAGGAAAATGTAGATATGTGTGTAAAGGAGGAAGAATAAAACTAAAAGAAAAAGTAATGGTCTAAGATAAACCACGAAGGGGAATGCATCGCGGCCGTCTAATAGGCAAGCTTGTCTGGTAGAAAGGGGTATTCTCAACGGTTTATTTCTCTTCTTATGTACGCTGAGAATCAACGAAGGAAAAGAAGAGTTTTCGAGAGGCCCCAAGCTATCATCGCCAGCGAACGAAAAAGTGATCGAACGATTTGGTATAAACAACGGTAGGAAAGTACATATCAAAAAGGATATGGTATAATATCGTAAGTAATTAGAATTCGTGCAGAGTCCCGAATTAGGCAGATCTTCTATTTTTTTTAAATTAATCTTCAAGTCTTTTTCGATTAGAAAAAAGTCTTTCTAATAGGTATTGTTTTGCTGTTTCTTATTCATTCAAATTTTCGGCGACTCGACAGGGGACCCGAGGTGTCCACTGCTAGCTAGGGGTGGAGGGGGGCGCGACGCTGTTGGCGAAGGGGTTCTTCCCGAATATGGCTGATAGCTCGATTGTGGAGGTGGATATACCTTGTTCAGGTGAGTTGTGGACTCACTTCGGCTGCGATTCGACCGGCTCCCAGAATTTGGTTGCATTTCAAATGCTACTCCAACTGAATCGCTGCTTGATGAATACTCTCGCTCCAATTCCTGTCTTCGCCGTAGGTAAGGGTCTGCTGTGGAAATCCGGTCGCTAGATATTCGACGAACGGGTGGTGGTTTTCGGGTGTATTCGTCGTCCTGAGCCGTCGATGTAGCTTGGTATTCTACGTCGTCTGTGGGCCGCAGGGGCACCACTGAATCGTTGGAGCCACCCATGTCAAATCGGGCGCGGGAAGGGCCCACGGGGCTGTTACCCCAGGTCCGAATTGGATAAGCACGCCCTTTCCTCCAAGATTCCGAGAGGGGAGGGAAATATTGGCGATAGGCGACGTAGGCACAGATAATTCCCAAAAACGAGCCGAATAGCACGTCGAAGGGATGATGTCGCGCGTCCATGATTCTTGTTGCGGCAATAAGTCCCGCTCCTAGGGTTGGGAAGAGGGCCAGGAACGTTTTCCACACCTCACCCCGGCTATCCATAAGGTGAAATTTCCCGGCAAGGTAGAGAGAGAGATAGAAGAGGCCGGCGAAAGAGGCTACATCATTGAAATTTCATGTTAATATTTATAAAAAAAAAAAAAAAAAAAAAAAAAAAAAAAAAAAAAAAGCCATAAAATGACATGAACACACGGAGCATGGTGGCCCTTACAACTAGAATGTCCTGATCAGCTCTGTTAGTATAATATTGAAGTAAGAAAGGGAAAAAAAAAAAAGGCTAGGCCGCTTACCTGAAGGAAAAGACCTATACCCATCTTTCAAAATATCGTGACTCAGTTGTGAATCACACATATCATAGGTCACCAAGTCGTACGGGCCGAGCTTATCGACCCCTTTTGGCCTACAACGATCAATAATGTCCGGCCGCGGTTTCCCAACGGCATTCTTCAAAGCAGCCGTGATGACAAAAGCACTGGCCTGAGCTAATAATAAGCCCAGAAATCCACAATTAAATTCCCATAGCCTGTCTTTTAGGCTGTATGGGCCCATAAACTTTCTCTTGCCCGAAGGCGTTATTGGTTTATTGTGTGAGAAGAGACCGTCGATGACGACGGTGTAGATGAGGATGACGACGAGCGGGATGCCTCCGGAGAGGGCGAGAGCGAGGGGTATGGATACTCGTTCGTTGACGGCATAGCGGTAGTACAGGGAGTGGTTGGTGATGGCAAAAGGTTGGTGGAAGGGTTCGACACGGTCCAGAATGTAGAATCCGGCGACAAGGCCTCTAGAGTGCGAAATGGGATTTTGATTAGGGGCTACCCCAAACAAAGGAGGAGGTCGCATGTCCATGCGCTACTTTCCTGTCCAACACAAAATACACAAAAATACACGGGGATATAACACGTACATGAGGATCACATAGTCGGATATGTATCTGGGAGGAGATTAGCCAAATCACCCCTTCGCTATGCTTATTTATTTCGTTTCTTTGTTGATCTACGGAGGCAGAGACATGGAATGGATCGCAGTCACTCACGATATTATGATTCGGATTCTGAGAGGTTTATTCGAGAATGTGAGGCTGTTGGAATGGGAGTTATCCATGGCGGTGGGCTAATTCGAAAAAAAGAGAAGAGGGCAAGGAAAGGTAAATGGCAAGCGAAACAACGACGGACGATGAAACGACAAAGGACGAGAGGAATCAACGAGAGCACCCCAACTGCATGATGATGGGATCCAGGACGGGGTAGGAGGACAGTAATGTGTCCGAAGGGGGAATCTGGCGGTCTGAGGATGAGATGAGGATGAGATGAGGGTGAGAAATCGACAACAGACAGAAGTTGGAGTCGGTCTTAACGAAAGCCCCAGCCACAACGGTCGAGCTCAGCTAACATTTGGCGTCTGTCACAGGTCAGCTACGGGGTACGGAGTAGTCTTCTTATTTTTGTTCCCAACCGCCGATAGGGCCGGATATGTGTCCTCTGTCCGTTCCTCACTGATGGCGAAGGATTGAATGCGCTGTTGGATTGTAGGTTGTGGGTTGTGGGTTGCGGGTTGAGGCTCAGTGCTCGGTTTAAACACAAGATAGCAATAAATACTGACATACAAATAAATATTCCTCAACCAGGACTCACAACACCCAGATAAAACAGATCCGATCTGAACGAGACTAGATTTACACCCTTTGCCGCCCCGGCATTTAGCTCCAGGGCTGAAGATGACAAGCAATAAATAAACCACCCACCCCAGGCGAGAGTCTGGCCCAAAATCCACAATTCGCACCATAATTATTTCCTACGCCAGGCGATGTTTCAGAATTGAATTTCCACACTCCTGATTAATTTTTAAACTTTTTATTTTTTAATGGTTAATAAGTTGATTCAAGCATCCCCCTAAGAGACCACCTGTCTGTCGGTTCCCAAGAAGTTTCTCCGTTCCAGCGGAAACGATTTCACACACAACAACACTACGGAGTACACTGCCCTCCTCCTCCTCCATTGATTCGCCGTTTTTTCCCGGAGTCCGGCCGCGTAAGCCCCCGCCCGGTTGTCTCATGTTACACTGATATTGGCCGTGGGGCGATCGACAGTTGTTCTATTATTTATTTATTCTGATGCTGTTTGGTGTGTGGGCTTTGACACTCCTTTTATCTAGAAGTGGTTATACGGGTCCTGCGTGGCGTTATAACTATATTTAACCTCATCAGCAGGCCCTCAGGGAACTGAGTTTGCGTGACTTACAGTCTGTTGGCTGCTGATGGAAAAAAATATTTTTAAAAAAAAGGTGAGGGAGCCAGGGTGTAAACATCCTTTTCTAATATTTACTGGAGGCTTCTTCTACTACGTAGAAACTTAACTTATAAGTTAGTAAGTTAATGTACCCCGTGTCTCTCTATATATCTAACTACCTAGCCGGAACTGGCAATATATTTTTTTATTTTTTTTGTTTCTTTTTGTTACCATCGGATGCCCGATTATCATATTTGAAGATGGCTAGAGTGAAGATTTTGCAGAAAACGCCCCTTTTATTTTAAACATAAACGGTTATTAACTAAGATAACAAATTCATTTAGGAGGCCCCCTTTCTCGTCTCCCCCCCTCCTGCTACTATCCCATTTCTACCACACATTACGCCTAGACGAACAAGGAGTCACGCGCAGTGTTAAAAAGTTAAGATTCGATGAAAACAATAAATAAATAGAACAATAGAGAAGAGACGGAAACGAAACGGAAGAGGAAAGAATGGTGCTGACCCAAGGGTCGGTTGCTTCGGCTTTCCCCAAATTCCCTCCCGGCGAATAAAAGCGTATAGCATCCGGGCCCCCTTATCTTTGAAGACCTCGACGCTCAACATATAGTGATGTAAAGGCCAATTCTAGAGACGTAAATGTTCCAATTAGCCCATCACTTCCATACTAAAGATAAATATTATAAACTGAAGTGAAAAGAAATAGAAAGAAAACTCACGCAGGCGGATTATAATCCTGAAAGTACTTCAGGTAAGTCGTACCCCAATTATCCATGCGGAACGCAATCGCCTGGCCAGCAGGGCACTCAAAGCTAGTCAGAAGGTACTGCGACCTGGGAACCAGGGTCACATACGGCAGCTGCTCCTGTATCGGCGGTGAATTCGCATAGGTCGTATAAAGCGCCGCGGGCGCCGCCAACCGACTAAAGCCCACCCGCCCATCGCCGCTGAAGGAGTAGTTGTCTAGCTTGGGGAACAGGAACCAGAGGCTGCAGGTTCGGCCCTGGCTGCTGGGGGAAAAATCGAAGTTGAAGATGCTGGATATTGTGGACGTGACCTGGCCGAAGAAGGAGGTGCCTGGTGCGTAGGTTGGGGCTGCGGAGTCGACGGGGATGATTAGGTGGGGGAATTCGAAGCTGCCGTTCAGGTAGCTAGAGCAGGATTTATAATTCTGGCCGGTGGCGCTGAGGATTAGGAGGGAGAGGGCGTAGATGGGCTTCATGGTGGTAGGAAAGGTGGGTTGATTAACCAGGTACAGTACACAGTACCTTCTAAGGTCTACGGACGTCGAGATGTAAAAAATGTCCCGTATAAAAATTCCGTGGCACAGTCGACCAGACTGATCAATGGTGGTTTGAAGAAGAGCAGGGACGAGTTCTCAATTTATGGATTCGGGTTGTCCCGGTCACTGAGGCAAAGGGGAGAAGAAGCTCCAAGAAAAGCTCTCAGAACAGGTATTCCACTGGACACCTTGGGATACTGGACTCTGCTTGCTCTGCGGTAGAAGATTTGGTGACAGGTGCCAACGGCATCGGGGAAGCTGAGTTGGCACCCGCTTCGGGACGGAGAGCATGATGAGAAGCTTATGTATAAGGTATTTGACTGTCTGTTCTGGCTTCATGGCAGCACACGATGTAAAAGAGAAATGCATTAACATGGATACAGAAAGGAAGGAATGTTTGCTTGATATGGCAAAAAGCTGTCATACTCCAGGACAGACAACGTTTGCTCTGCATAGAAGTTTAAGTTTCTTGCTGCAGAGACACATAGTTCAATGCTTTTGAAGTATGCGGACATATGGCAATGAGGATTCTAGAACTGAATCACATTCTCAATCTGAGTTTTTCCTGGATGATAAATGCTCAACGCACACTTAAGTTATGTTATTTGAGCCAACCGCTGGACATATAGAAGAGTAGGTTTTATGAGCTGCGCATGAAAGCTCTCATTTGGTAATGCCAAAAGCAAATGAATGGCTGAGGACAGTGAGACACCATCAATTCTCATTCTTGAATAGTGAGATAGAAAGAGGCCGCAGCGGGCTCTCTCAAGTCCTATCTAACGATAACGGACAACGGAAAGATGCAGTAGAAGACTTCCTGTTGGTGTCAACAGTCGAATAATCAATCACATGGAAGGGATGCGGCATGACAGCCAGCCGCGTCTCATCAGAGAGATTGTTTGGAAATGGAAAAAAGAAGAAAAAAGAAAAGAACAGAGGTAAAGGATTCCCGGAACATTGCCGCGGGAAGACGTTCAAGAAGAAGGGTTGCACTGCATGAGGATGGCAAATAAAAAACCCATCGCCCGGCCAATGTAATCCATAGCTAAGTAAGCCACAAGGGATGAGGATCAACGGCAAAAGCCACTCTCTCTGAGATATCAACAGATTATTCATTGAAATCGAAGAGAAAGTTGTGAGTTATATACCCATGTGTTGAGTGTTGGTTAGAGCCCGTTACAGTTGAACTTGGTGCCAACTCGGGCCGGAAAAACAGCTCGGTGTGGTTCTTTGAATTTTCATATTTTGTGAGGCTCTAGCTCATTATAGCTCATTCTAATACTAATTCCAGGTTTTAACCCTCTAATCTACATCACTACACCAAGAAACTTAGGACAGTCCAACTTCTTTGGGCCCTTGACATTGGACGATGCCAGGTGCGATGTGTCAGCAAGCCAGCTCTGGCCCAGCACTTGAGATAGCTTTCTGCGCTCCAAACTCGGCCCCCAGGGCATGCTGTCAAGACAGTTGCCCATCTACTGCGTATACGAGCTGCACCCATGCACTCCTCAATTCATGATTAAGTGAGCAGCGCCGTCGTCCTCGTACAATTATGTAACTACAGGGGCCCAGACTCAGGCTCTCTCCCCCGCGCCTGAAGAATCCCAGCAACGAAGCCGCCACTCTTGCCAGGGCCGTTTTCCCCACCTTTTCGTATATCGAACATTTAACCCACTACATTTAGAGCTGTGGAATATTACTATATAAGTAGATAATATTTCTTCCTTTACGCCCATCAATTATATGTACTGTATATACATACTATAGGATAAATAAAGCTTACCTGACACGTCCGAATCGCTAAATATTTCCAATATCAAGTTATCACATCGTCAGCACCCACCATAATTTCCCCCGCCATGGATCTCATGATATGCTCGATGTGCGGTGCTCAGCACGACACTCGCTCTGCCAAATCGTGCAAGGTATGCGATGATCCACGCCAATACATCCCGCCAGAAGGGTAAGATCCATCTCCTTCCTTACAAGAATTGTGATACCTACCCCTAAACTACATCAATCATGCGTAGTTAGTTACCTATGGACAGTCTGGGGTATGGCAAGACAAAAAGGATATAATAAATAAAATAATAGGTAACATATCATAACTGACACCGAGGCCAAACCATCCAGACAATCATGGACAACGCTCCGCCAGCTGCAACAATCCAAAAAATACCACAATGAATTCCGCATGGACAAGAACCACTCCGGCCTCATCAGCATCTACACCGTGCCGCAGGTAGCCATTGGCCAACGTGCCCTCCTCTGCTGCACATCCGCCGGTAACGTGCTCTGGGACTGCCTCACATACATCGACGACGAGACCGTCAGCTACATCAACGACCTGGGTGGCCTCAACGCAATCGTCATCTCGCATCCGCACTACTACTCTACCGTCGTCCATTGGGCGGAGGCATTCCAATGTCCCGTTTACATCTCCGTTGAGGACGAGGAGTGGCTGATGCGCCGGGCGCCCGTGACCAGCACGATTTCCGCGGCGCAGAGCAAAACAGGCCACGAGAAGATTACTGGTATTTTGTTGTGGGAGGGCAAGGAGCTGAATCTACTCGGGGGTGCGGTTACGGCTGTGAAAGTGGCCGGCCATTTTCCGGGGAGCTCTGTGCTCCTGTGGAAGGAGACGAGGAAGCTGCTTGTAGCAGATAGCATCATGGTGGTACCCAGCGGGGTGTACCATACTGACCGCCTGCCGGGCACCACCTCGTTCACGTTCATGTGGTCGTATCCGAATTCTGTGAGTTTGTTTTCTATTTATTTCGGCTCTCCCCACAATAAAAAGCTCCCCTGGAAGCGGAATCCTGCTTTTCTCCCGTTTTGTTGTATCACGTTGCCTACTGCTCGCGACTATAAACAAGCCCAAACAAATCTTCAATCATAATTCGCAGCCGCTAATAGATTGGTACCTCACTTGCTTGTTTTCCTTTTTTTGCCGTATGAACAGATTCCACTCCCTCCAGATGATGTACATGCAATCTGGAAAGCGGTCCAACACCTTGACTTCGATGACACCCACGGAGCATTCTGGGGACGTGATACCATCGGCCAGAGCAAGAAGAGGCTTTTGGAAAGTGCGCAGATATATATCAAGTTCGCGGGATACGCGGATCATGCGATTCATCAGGAGAAGATCAAAGGGTAGTTTTGAGTGATGGCATGTGTGCTCCAGGTTGTGTATATAGGAATTATTACTGTAGATATATTGTCAGTGTCATTTGGGGGTTGAAATGAGCATAGGGTATGGCGGTATCTAATGGTATCTATGGATGGTACTGGCTGGTAGTTTTTATGATGAAATGAAACAGTACTCATGGGTTATCTTGTTTCTCGGATGTTACTGTACTAATGCAAAAGTATCCACGCCCCCCACCAATATTCTACTTATCTATGTACCCCCTTTCAGTGTTATGATTGTCTATTTTCACAATTTACTATGCCACAATGCATTATTTTGCATGAAATTTCTGTGAATAGATCAAGGAAGGAGTTGACTCCTCATGAGCACAGTAAAATTATTGTATATTATCATTCTGGATAAGATTATCAGTGGATTTCTGCCTATCTTGAGATTTCAAAAATCCTAGCAACGATCTACGGCTAGATAACCCGACCGGGGTTCATGACATTATTTTCAATCACTCTTTTCAGATCAACGATGCATCTCAACCACACTCCGGAAGACTTTTAAAACTATGTGTCTGTGATCACAGAGTTCTATCCAACTATATTCAAGCTGAATCTAAGATTATCTATCAAACTCTGCTTCAAAATACTGTATTAAACATTTCTTATGACACTATATATCACAAGCTCAAGAAAGTCAGCATTATCAATCACTCTGCTAAAGAAAGATCATTCTTACTGTTCAGACATGCAGAGAAACAACTGATATGAGTCATGACTCATGATTAGAAGAAATTGAATATCTGAGCAGTGAGATAAGATTATTTGATCTGATGAAAGTACTGTGAAACAGAATAAAAAAGAACAGTGATAGTGAGACTTGTGTATCTTCACTCAGAAGTGAGATCTTGATAAAATAATAATACTACTGTAATGATATGAAGTGCTTTTTATGAATTCTGACACTCACAGCTGATCAGAGTCAGAGAGAATTCTACTGCTCATTGTGAAGATGCAACTATCTGATTCTATATACAACTACTTGATCAAAATCTCTTGAAATTCTATGAGAAAGATCTCATATTCATGCAGAATAGTGCTTCTATTCACACAGTATGAGTTGTTTGCAATTAATTACTAGAAAAATTGATAAAACAGCTTTCATGATCTTTCTATTCTTCAGATTTGAATCTCATTGAATATGTATGAAAGAAGATGAAAGAATTGATATATATTAGGCATTTATACCTTCTAAATCTATCTCACAATTCTGAAGCCACCAAAGATGCACTATTTGAGGCCATTAAAGAGTCATGGAAGGTGATATCAGAGGAATTTTATAGATAATCATTATTTTTATTTCTAACTTTTATACGTACAAGTACTCAATATTCTCTATAATATGTATGAATTTTAATGTATATAGACCTCTGGTTGTTGAGATAATTAATAATTAATAACCTCTCACTACTTGGATAGATGTAGATTTTGGTGGGGGGTGCGGATACTTTTGCCGAGCGACTAGTCGTACATGAAATAAACCGGTCCACCGCCAGCAGCAACTGCTTTTCCCATCGACTTGAGACCGAAAGTTAATTTGTATCAACACAACATTCAGTCTAGATAGCTCCTCCCGTAAGCTCCTCCGCAATCTTCTTCACTCGCTTCTCCCCAAGACTCCAAATGGTAGTGTCGGTCTTGCCAGCATGCACCAGGGACTCAACCGTGGATGGCAGACCCAAGTTCCAGATATTCTCTCCAATATCCTCATCATTGGTCCATGCAGGGTTCTCACCGTCAGGGAACACCCGCTCAATCTCCGCATTCAATTGCTCCTCGTTGATGATAAATGTCCTGGCGTTCATGTAAAGCGAATGGAGGTGGTCTGATCTCTGCTGCTTCTTGCTGTGCTGCTTCGCAGCTTGTTTCCTGCGGGAGGTCTTGAGGCGTTGCTCCGCGTTGGGATCGGGGAGAATGGCCATTTTGTTAGGTTTCATCACTTGGAGAGTCGATTGTTGCATCAGCCGGTCATCTTCCCGCGGGCCCTGTGCGAGGATTAGGTCCCGTTGGGCTATTTTGGCGCTGCTTCGTTTTGCTCTGAGTTCGTCACTCATCTGCTTGCGGGCGTACAGCTCGGTTAAACCCTCACGCAGATTTTTGCGGCGGATAACCGCCATCCTCTTCTTCCATTCCACGTAGTCGAATTGGGGGTCTCCAGGCTGGAGTTTTGGCTCGTTACTTGATGGCTCGGGAGTGGCGGCCTCAGCGTAGGCCTGTGTTGGCTTGTCTGGTCTGCGGGGCGGGAATAGCTCACGGGGCACAGGGAGAACACCCTTTACGGGAGCTTTATGGGGATGGAAAGGCTGTATCGGACGGGGGGTCTCGATGAAATTTGGCGACTCGGGCCCAACCCTTGGGCTTGGAGTTGAACTGAAGGCCCGGAAATGTATTGTGGTAGTTCTGTAGGCGCGGTAGAGTGACATGGCGGCCGACTTTGCGGGGCCGGCCATCGTGGGCACTGGGCGAATTGAGGAAATGAGGTGTGTAGTTTATCCCACCTTCCCCTTCAGACAGTCATATAGTACGATAGGAAGACGGGTTTGCTCTGGGAGGTTCGAATGGTGTGATATCGTTGTCGCAAAAAGGACAAAAGATTTGATTCCGAAGCGATTTTTGATTGGTCCGTGCACTCAAGGTCTTGGCACACTCTTGCCCAACTTAAAGGGAAAAAGAAAAAAACTTCGAATAATTATTTTCTCCTCTTCTGTTGTTGAAATTCTCTCCAGCCAACAACATAACTTTACAGCCAACCACCCAGAAGTACCCAGATACCCTAGGCTGAGTGGTGGCATTCGATTTTTACATAATCCTTCTTCACTATGGGTACAGCCAAGAAGGAAGCTGCCCGCCGGGAGCGGCAGGGCAAGACTGGAGATGGCATGGGCAATGTGAAGACCAAGGGTGAAAACTTCTATCGGTAATCAACTGCCATATCTTCTGTCTGCGGAATGTGATAAGACGTGTACTGATATCCATACAGAAGTGCTAAGAAGGTCAAGACCCTCAATATGTTCAAGGGGGGTAAAGCACAACGAAATGCCCAGGGTGAAATCACCAAAGCTGCATCCTACCAATCCCGCGAGATTCCAAACGCCCGGATAGAACCTAACAGAAAATGGTTTGGCAATACAAGAGTTATCTCACAGGAAGCTTTGAGTTCGTTTCGAGAAGCAGTCGCTAAGCGTGCCTCGGATCCATATCAAGTTCTGCTCAAAACAAATAAGCTGCCAATGAGCTTGATCCGCGATGGATCAGATACTAATGGGCTCAAGGAGCACAAGGCTAAGATTGCTGTTGAAACAGTACCTTTCAGCGACACATTCGGGCCCAAGGCACAGAGAAAACGAGTCAAGCTCAGCGTTGGGACACTCGAAGATCTTGCGGGCGAGTCGGTCAAGATGTACGAGACCTACATTGAACGGCTGGATCAGGCAAAAGTATTGAGCGGGACATCGGGTGAAACTGCTGAAAACGACCATGCCGCTGATGATGGGCAGCTCACATCGGCGAGAGAGCCTGTTTTCTCTAAGGGTCAGAGTAAGCGGATCTGGAACGAGCTGTACAAGGTCATCGACTCGTCCGATGTTGTCATTCATGTGCTTGATGCTCGAGATCCTGAGGGTACACGGTGCAGGAGCATCGAAAAGTACATTCGTGAGGAAGCACCACACAAGCATTTGATTTTCGTTCTGAACAAGTGTGATCTGGTACCAACCGGCGTTGCTGTAAGTTAATAAAACATATCACCTCCCTCTTGATCTTTCATTGTCTCGTGACATGCCATTGCTAAGTCAAGGCTTCTTCCCGTGCATATTTTCTTGCCACCTCTCTATGGAAGTATTTTGTCTGTTACAGCTTTGGTAGATGAATTCTAGCCCGCCGCCTTGGTTTCTTTCTGAAATTGGGGTTGACAAGCGATCGTTTTGAGAGCTCTGTCGTATAGGGCTTGCTGTGTCTTGTTTTGAGTTGAGTCCTGCTTCCACTTCATTTTTGTGGCACCATAGCAGTTCTCTTAGTAACATCTCACACATTGATGTTTAACATGGGTCACTTCTCTTGTTGTGAAGCCATTTTTATGGGATCATTAAACTGATTTTTGATTCTAGGCTGCTTGGGTTCGTGCATTATCGAAAGACCATCCCACATTGGCCTTCCATGCTTCCATCAACAACTCATTTGGCAAAGGCTCTTTAATCCAACTTCTACGCCAATTTTCATCGCTACATTCGGACCGTAAACAGATATCGGTAGGATTTATTGGATATCCGAACACCGGAAAATCGTCCATTATCAACACCCTCCGAAAGAAGAAGGTTTGCACTGTTGCTCCCATTCCCGGTGAAACAAAAGTGTGGCAGTACATCACGTTGATGAAGAGAATCTATTTGATTGACTGCCCTGGTGTCGTCCCACCGAGCAACCACGATACCGAAGAGGACATCCTGCTGCGAGGCGTGGTGCGCGTAGAGAATGTCGAAAACCCAGAACAATATATTCCTGGAGTTCTCAAACGAGTTCAGTCACGCCATATTGAACGGACCTATGAGATCAAGAATTATAAGGACTCAATCGACTTTCTAAGTATCCTGGCCAGAAAGGGAGGCAGGTTGCTCAGAGGCGGCGAACCTGATGTCGATGGAGTCGCTAAGATGGTTATTAATGACTTTCTACGTGGGAAGATCCCGTGGTATACTCCACCGCCCCATTCTGCTGATGCCGATGCAGACGGAAAGATTGACGGGCGTGAGGGACGACTTGGTGAGATGGGCCGCAAACGGAAGCGGGATGACTCCGAAACTGGCACTTCGGTTGCACCATCTGATGATGCGGCATCGGAGCTGAGTGAATCTGACATGGATGATGAGCCGTTTGAGGGATTTAGTGAAGGTGATGATGGTTCAGCTAGCGAGGAGGAAGCAGATAAGGCCGATGAAGATGGCCCTCCTGCCAAGTGACGGCACGAACAAGCTCACAGGATGCATATCATTCTCCATCGCGAAAGCAAAGTTCGCTGTTAGAAGTAGTATCATTCCAGCTCGCTCTTTTGTATAGCGTCCGATAATTTTTGTCATATCGACCAACAATCAGCCAGCAAGAGTCGCCAGACTAAGTTCCACCATTCAATGACATCCCCAGCGCGCTTCAGCAGGTAAATGAGATCTG